GATCACATCTCCTTTTCTTACTGACCCTTCGGCCTCTCACTTATAAGGATTCTTGAGATTATTTTAGGCCTACCCAGATAACCCAGGATCATCTCATCTCAAGATCCTTAATCACAGCTGCAAATTCCCTTTTGCTACAAAAGCCACCATATTCATAGTTTCCTGGGATTAGGACGGATAGATCATTATTCTGCCTACCACATGTGCCCAATCATCTTGGTGTCGGCTTTCTGAAGGACCCAAGCTAGCCCGGTCATCTTCAGCTGAAATGCCCTCCTGTGAGCTGCTACAGTACTTTCCCCAAATGGTGCTTATATAATTCTATTACAGCCACTTCTGTGTTTGCATCCCTAATAAACTGTGGACTCCTTGAGATTAATGTCTTATTCACTAGTACCTCCCTAGTGTTTAGCAAAGTGTTTGGCATATTATGGACATTTAATAAATATTTAAGGACTCAACCTTGAATAAAGGTTATGAGGTTTTTTTGTTTAAAAAAAAACAAAACAAAAGACGATTTACCCTGGCCGGTGTGGCTTGGTGGTTAGAACTTCGTTTCCCTCACACACACACACCCCGTTCAGGGACATGTACCTGGGTTGCAGTTTTGATCCCAGCCCTGGTGGGGGCACGTGCGGGAGGCAACCAATCCATGTGTCTGTCTCACATCTATGTTTCTCTCTCTCTCCCACCCTCACTCTTTCTATCCCTCCCTCCCTTCCACTCTCTCTAAGTATCAATGGAACAAATATCTTTGGATGAGGGTTAGCAACAACAAAAGACTTGGAAATCTGAGATTCCCACGGTAGGAAACTTAAACCCTTTGTGTATCACAGTATTGCTACTAAGAGTTTGATGAGGCAAAGGGATTTGAGATGTCCATCTAGTAAATATTTCCTCCTTTACTGCAAGCCAAATCAATGGTTTCCTCATAAATACTGCTGGTCTGTTGCAGGTTAGCTCTTAAACCCGGTTCTCCACTCTTCCCTGCTCTGCTTCCCTGGGCACTACATTTCCCAGGCACCCTCGCTCCCTGGTTTCCCGGAGGCAATAGTGAAAAATCCACGGGTGGGCAGGAAGAGAGGCGAAACTTCCCCCTCTTCCCCTTTCCTTGCAGTGTCCCTGGCAGTGACTGTACATTCTTTGCCTTCTGGCTTTAGGACTCGGTAGCACTACTTGCTCCTGCTGCCTCTTCCACCTGAGGGGTAGTAGCACTTCTTGCTCTTGCTAATCTCTGGATTGACTCACCATCCCTTTTGGTTTCTTAGCCTCAATTCCCTCGCTCATGAAACCAATTCCCTGTGCTGCTTCTACTTGAAGATCCAGTTATATCTGTTTCCCCAGTTACACTATGACTGATGGAAGTACAGCTTTGAGGATTACTAGAAATTCTCGATCACAAAAAAACACACCACACCTTGATTTTACCATTAAAAGAATGATCAGGCCCAGCCGGTGTGGCTCAGCGGTTGAGCATCGACCTAGGATCCAGGAGATCTCGGTTCGATTTCTGGTCACGGCACATGCCCGGGTTGCAGGCTCGATCCCCAGCAGGGGGTATGCAGGAGGCAGCCGATCAAAGACTCTCTCATCATTGATGTTTCTCTCTCTCCCTCTCCCTTCCTCTCTCTGAAATCAATAAAATTTTTTTTTAAATAAAAAAGAATGATCAGGAATTAGGTTTCCCATTAGCCAATCTATTTATACCCCACAGCTGTTATGATTTATGGGAGAAAAAGTGAAACTGATAATTCTATAAACTGAAATTTTTGCTTCTGAAGAATGAAACAGAGAGAAACAAGATGGCGGCGTAGGTAACAGCTGCACCCGCCGCCTCCCTCAACCACATCAAAATTACAACTAAAATACAGAACATCATCACTCAGAACCTCCTGAAATCTGGCTGAACAGAAGCCCCACAACCAGGGAACTGAAGAAGCACCGAGACCGGGAGGAGGGGCGGAGACGCGGGCGGATCGGGGCTGAATCAGAGACTCGCCGCGGGCCCCACACCAGGTGCCGCAGTTTAAACCCGGGAGGGAATCTCGGCGGTGGAGGTTTCCCAGAGGAGCAAGGGGTTCCAGCCCCACAGCAGGCCCCCAGCTCAGGGCTCCAGGTTAGGGAAGAGAC